TTGAAAAACCCTGAATTATCAAACAAAGGTTTATTTGCCTAAATTATCCTGCTGGCTTGACACGGAGATGTGGGGTTTGTTTTGAGTCTTTGTACATTTAGTGACCTGCAGTATTTTGATAAATGCCATTGCCTAAAACTATTCAGTGGGAGGTTTGGGCACCATCTGTGTTTGTTTCTGTAGGAGCAGTAACTGCCTTGAGAAAAATCTGACGCTCATTTCAAAGATGCAGTATAAACAAAATTCAAGATGATGCCTTAACATAATTATTCCACCTTTCATTTACACAGTGCTTCATGCATTTCAAAGCGATTTGATGTGCTTTCATTTAAAGGATTTCACCAAACTTGTGGAAGCTGTATAGAGCCTTCCAAAAGATATAAAACCTCTATAAGGAACGTAACACTGAAATTTGCTAGTCTTTCAGAAGATGGTAAAAAAAAAACATATAGTCTTATCGCTTGTTGATATTCAGAAAATACTTGTGGATCACCTTCTCTATGCCTATAGCATCTTTTAAGTACAGCACACATATTATCACTCATATAAACATCAGAAGATTCCTGTGAAGTATTATTCTATTCTCCTTGAAAGTACAGGAAGATCAAGTAACAGGAAAGTTCAATCATAGCTGATAAGTTTGAGCCTTGTCATTTAAACAAAAACATCATCTCAACCAGTGTCTTCCTTTAGTGCTTACCCAATATGCAATGTTTTTATTTATAAAACATTTGTATTGGGTTTCTTCTAAAATGTGCATGCGTATCAGTGTGTTCCAGGAAACGGTTTCACTAGCTTTCTGCAAAAGAAAAAATTCTTAACTTTGGTGGGAGGTCAAGAGGAAATTGAAACATCTGCATGCACAAACCCCAAACACTAAAACTTTTGCTTTTAATTTTAGCAACTCAGGTCATAATGTATATAGTCTCAGTGGAGGTGTGCCCCCAGAGTTAATATACCGAAAAACTAACATCCAGCATGGTGGTGCAGAAAGGTGAGGTCTGGGAGGGTGATTAGGTTGTGACAGGAGAGACCTCCCAGATGGAATCAGTGCTTCTGAAAAGGAGATCTCACACAGTTTCCCAGCCACTTCTGCCATGTGTGGATATAAGTCCGTGACCTAGAAATACGCCCTTAGGAGACCTTACTGACTTCTCTCAGACCTCCAATGGTCAAGATGTGAGAAAATAACTGCTGATGCTCATAATACTCGGTAGTATTTTATTATATCCGTCCGAATGGATAAAGACAGAGCATTCATCCATTTCCACGGGATAAACAGTCCTATCAGGATCCACTTTCAGCTAATAAAGCCACTGGCTGCCTAGCAGAGAAGCGCTCCAAATATTTGTATGTCACACGTCTATGGCTCCGGCATAACACTGGTTGATTATAATTACTGCTGTGCTTAAGATGCCATCTATGTCACGGATGTGATGATCTACTCTTGAAGTACGTTCTAAATATGAACTCGCTTTCTTTTCAGCTGCTTTATCCAATGCATTGTGAATTAGACTGTTAGATATGTTCTCGCTCAATCATTGCTTATAAAAATTATGCAATCATATTTATTTCGGGGATATTTTTCACTAAGATAATCAGGCTCTTTTGGGATGAGGCAATCAGGTCGCAGCTGGAGAGAGAAGAGAGAAACTAAAAAGGTGCAATGACTCATATGTCAGCCTCGAACCAGGTACTAGACACTCCCCAATGTTATTTCGCAGTGAATTGGGTTACCACTATTTCCAATGAGTAAGTTTGGAAGTTACGTTTTGGTCCATCCAAAGATCCTCTGTGTCTGTTACAGATAGTCGCCAGAGTTTATCCAATGGTCTGTTAGTGTGTTTAAGTCCCTCTAGCTGGAGCAATGCCGACTGGACTAGAAACAGTGAGAACAAACAACTTAAACTTAAGCCCTCAATACATGTGAGTTACTTCTGCCCAACCTCCCTTTTCTGGATCCTCCCTACCCTTCTCTATTACCGAGTCTAGGGTTTTATTAGTAACTGTCTAACATTCCTACCCATTTATGCCTCTCGGAGAGCTCGGCAAGCTACTAAGAGTATCCCGCCCACACGGGCAGAGCCTGGCAAGCTGCCCATGGCGTATACGATATGCCCAATACAGTGATGACAATAGATCTCATTCCTCAGACCCTGAAAGAACCTCCAATCACTGAGAAAAGACGAGTAAGAAGAGGCTGCTAAAATCTCAGGGCTGGGAGGAATAGAGATGTTACTGGCAGCTGCTCAAGTAATTTGACGATCAATGGGATGACAGTGATACAGAACATTAAAAATAGTTTACAGAAGCCGGAGAGATGGAACATTAGGCAGGACACTTGTCCTGCATACAGCTGACCTATCCCTGGCAACACATCTGATGCCCTAACCCCTGCCAGGAGTGATCCCTGAATATAGAGCTAGTAGTAATCCCTGAGCATGGCCAGGAGTTGGCCCCTCAAAAACAAACAAACAAAATTTCAAATAGACATGCACAGCTAAATATTATATGGTGCCTTCACATCATCCCTCAACTTTCCAGGACACACACACGGGTAATAAATATGTTTCTATCACATGCTCAATGCACTTTTGCCCTAGCTTTCCCTTTTGGAATATGAGAGATATTAGACTGTTTTTAAAGGTATAATAAAATTTCACTGAGGAATATGAATATCCTGAACTTTTCTCACAACAAAAAACGCTGAGGAAGCATGGCTGGATTGATGCTGGTGAGATGTTATGCCTTAAAATAAAATTGCTTGGCAACTTTTCCCCCAGCCATCATGCCTTTAAAACCAGGGTAAAATAACATATAAAATAAAAATAAGTAAATAAGTGAGGTCAGTAGGAAGAGCTTGCTAATGTTTCAAAGTCGTGTTCCTTCCCATTGACAGGTCTAATGGCTTGGCTTGTTTGCCTGCATGAAGAGGTCTGGGAATAGGTCATTCAGTACCTGTTATTCTGGGCTTTAAGAAATATATAGAATTTCCCTCCTGTTAAGCAGCTTGCATTTCTTTGCTTTGCCTAATTATCTTATTTCCCTTTACTCTTTTCAAGCTGGGATATGAAAGCCTAAAGTCCTATAAACTAATGATGATGGTAGGTCTTTGCCAGCAACTTGGTTCTTAGTCAAGAAATGAAACAATTAAAGCAAAACCTTCCTAAGGAAAACGGTTGATCCCTCAAACAGAGATCATTAAAATCTGTCCCAGAAACGAGGTAGAATGAATAAACTAAAAGTTCAAAATGTCTCATTCAACAAACAAGTATACTAAGTATTAGGTGTGTTCTGGGCTGGAGCGATAGCACAGCGGTAGGGCATTTGCCTTACAAGTGGCCAACATGGCCAACCCGAGTTCGAATTCCTCTGCCCCTCTCGGAGAGCCCGGCAAGCTACCGAGAGTATCTCGCCCGCACGGCAGAGCCTGGCAAGCTACCCGTGACGTATTTGATATGTCAAACACAGTAACAACAAGTCTCATAATGGAGACGTTACTGGGCCCACTCGAGCAAATCGATGAACAACGGGAAGACCGTGACCCGTGAGGTGTGTTCTAAAAACCAATTTGATATTCTAAATTTTAACCTATTAAAATTTCTGAGAATGTAAATTTAAAGCAATTTAGAAATTTAAATCAATTTATTTTCTAAGAATGTATTTTTTAATAAAATATGTTTTGTCCTCTGGAAGATTTCAATCTTAATTTTATTTACTTATTATGATACATTTCTTAATTACAGATATTCAAATAAAACTTTAAATATGAGTTATTTATAGCCAGGTCATGGATATTTTACATGGTACCCACACATTTCCAATCACTTATTGGAAATATCCATGTCCATTATTTATTGTAGAGCAATCTAATAAAAAATCTGAAATGAAGAAAAAGAGTTTAAAGGAATAATGTAATTTTGAGCCAAATAGAAAAAAATGAAAAAATTGTGCTTCTCCTACTTTCTATACAGCCTTTCCTTGAAGCCATATATTAAAATCCCAGACCAGAGTTTGGCGAGTATCTTACTAATAGATCACTCACTCTGCAGGCTTGAGGTCCAGAGTTTGATCCCTGACACCACAGTAAACAAAAACAACAGCAACAATAACAAAAACATCAGCACACACACACACAACTCCCTAAAATTCAGGCCAATCAATCTAACCTCTTCTTTAATCTGAGTAATTAATACAGTAATATGTTCCACATATGTTTTCATCTAGTGGTTCATACTATATTTCATAATCAACTGAGGAATTTTAAAAAAATTGTATTTTCAAGCTTTAGCCTCAGAAATTTAGGTAGCAATACAAGAATGGTGTTGGCAGCTGTGATTTATTTATTGCTTTTAGGTTTTAGAAAATATTTTTTCAGTGTCAAGAATCAAACCTAACACCTTACTGAATGCAAGACAAGTGCTTTATGCCCAGTCCTGACTTTCTTTTTAAATCTGCACATAAGTAATGCCTTAATAAAAATCACCGCTCAAATGACATTATAATAATTTACACTTAAAAATAGCACAGGATTCATTTTTGTGAATTTGTATTACTACATTCCCAGCTGAATTTTAATTGTCTGTTAGCTATATGCAGAGACACACATTTACTTTGTCCTCTTCAGCACACAGAAATACGCACTCATGGGGAATGTGCACTGGCGGAGGGATGGGTGTTTGATCATTATGTGATTGCAACCCAAACATGAAAGCTTGTAACTATCTCATGGTGATTCAATAAAATTAAAAAAAAATGTGCACTCATGAATTTTCCCCACGTTCTGTTAATAAAAGAAAAAGACAAGGAATCTCTTTTCAACAACCTGTGTATAATGCCATCAGAGCTCCTTTCCTACTATTCTTCACACAGTGGTGGAACAATATTATGAGCCAGGGACTTTTTTTAACATTGCATTTTAGAAAGGTCTCAAAATCTGGTCAGCCTCTATAGAGTTTCAGAGAAACATACTATCAAAAGTGGAGTGAAAGTGAACTTACTTTGATTCAAATCCAAATTTGTCTTCTCACTTTGCCTATGAAGGGAAGAAAAACAAAAGATGAGAGTTCCTGAAGTGCTGCTCTCAGAAAGCACTGAATGCACTCAATGCATGATAACTAAAGTAAATAACAAGTATTTACAAGTATTAAGGAAGCCCTTAAGGTCCTCAAGACTTATCCTCATCATGCCAGTATTAGGCCTTACCCTGTAACCCTCTCCCCAAGAAACATATAAACTAGTCATAGAATGCCAGGTTAAGGGAGGCTTGCTAAAATAAAATTTTCCAATCTTTTTAGCCTATGACCATGTTAGGGAAGCAACAAATACCATGCAGGCACCACTGAGATTCAACAATTCAAGTTTTGTAGGACTGTTTCTAAGGGTCAGTGAGAAAGTACAGGAAAGAAACCCATATAGTGTGTGGCATAAATATGTCACTTGACAGGACACTGTTATAGAAATAATAATACCCTTAACAACAACCTGGTTGGATATTGGTGGAGTTCAGTATCCTTTTTCTCTTAAAATGCAGAGTCCTAATAAAATATAGAATAAAAACATTATAAGGAAGAAGAACACATTAGAGCCTCTGACAATCTTTGAATATGTAACAGAAACCAAGGCAGACACATTGAGACGCACATAAGATGTGTATCACCTTCAGACTGTTATAGAATCAGGTCCTCATCTGCACTCAGGTTTCCCCCCTAGGAGAGGCCTTGTAATTGCATTCTTTCTTTGCTTCCTTAACTGTAAAATGAGGCAACACCACCTTTCCCTCATTAGTGCATTATTGCAATAACATTTGATTATATGTGCGCTGTATTTCAAAATTTCTGAAAATAGCAAGTTTCCCCCAAGTTCTTTTTATGATTATTTTATTATTATTTATAGCTTGTGTAGTTTGTCATTTACACAGGGACAAGCCTGGGAATGAAAGGTGATGCTATTAATAATTACGCTGCGAAAGCAGGTGTAAGCCAGGTGTACGGTCACCTTCTCTACAATACATTTTCTAGCTGAAAGCAAATTCCAAAGGGAGTGGGATATTGTGCAGGAGAATTTACATGGAACTCTTGGAACAATGTTCAGCATGGGTCAGATTCAAGTTGTGCAGAAAACCGTGATGCTGTCTCTGGAGACAAAATGAAAAATGGCATGGTATTTTGAGAGCCTTTGAACTCAGTTGAAGTCTTCCTCACAAACTCTCCATAATGAAGGTCCTAGGAGATGCACTCACTTTCATTTATTTTTTTTAATTTTAAAAATTTTTAAGAGAATCTTTCTAAAATCTCTTATATAGTTTTCCGCCTCATTAAACAAACACAGTGTAATTTATACTCTTGAAGGTTTTTTTGTAATAAAAGTATGCAGAAAGAAACAAACAAATTTCTCTTTCAAATTGAAGATATATTTGAGTATGAGATGTAGTCTTCACTGCCCAACCAAACTTTATTTCTTCTTGCTTTGCCTTAGGATAGATTAGAGATTTTGGAGGGAACACATCATGGTTCTAGTCTAGAGGATTATGCTTCTTTTCATACATTTCATTCTATAAACATTTACTGAAAACCTTCTATATAGTAACTCTCTAACTGATAGAACTAATTTAGTACAAAAAAATGACACAAAAAAGATTATGACAAAGGTTCTGTAAAGATCCATTATGTCTGGTGGGTGATATTGCCTCTTCTTAGTGATATCTGTTCTTATACTGTCCCTCACAATTCAAAAAATATATAAATATTAAATTCTCTGAAAGTGTTTTTTTATCCCAAATATTTTATTAACTTATTTTTTCTTTTCTTTGTAATACATATATTACAAAGTTGGGAGTTTGAAAACTATTACAGGGGCAAAACCTTGCACACAGCCACTCTGGATTTGGTCCCTGGTATAACCTGGTCAGTCCCCTGAGCATTGCTGGCTGTGGTCCCCAAACAAAACATTTAAAAACCTCAAGTTCTATTGATATTACACAGAAATCACATATATGTAAGTCTAAACACTATGGCTGTGAAATATAATGTGGAATGCACAAAATTTTCTCACTTCTTGCTATTTTTAATGACCCACTTAACTTCCATGCAGTGCAAAAAACTTCATTTCTTTAAACATATTTAGGTTTATAATGAAGTACTTGGTACCTGGCCTTTAAGCAGATTACATAAATAAAATCACTAATGAGGAGACTCACCTTCATTTAGAAAAACAATGAGCCTCCATATTGGTCATGTTGGATTCCTGTCTTCGTGTGTTCTATCATATATTTTCACCTACAGTCCCAGATGAGCAGAACAACTTTAAAACATTATGTAATCACATCCACAAGCATCTATAAGGCATTCGCTTTTGGGTTATCAGGGATATCAGTTTGGCTCGGGGTAAATTTAAGAACAGTAGCAACTGTCAAACATACTCAAAACAAAATAAATTAACTATCCAACCTCTTTACTTAAGTGCTTGTCCTACTCTGACTTAGAAAAACAGTTTAAGTGTAAGTAGCATTCTAGCTATGTACAATCTCTCCTGAGGACATTTTTTATGAGGTTGAATGAAGATAACGACAACCATTAGTCACTGCCATTAGCATAAGGCACAAGGCACACTCTAATATTTATAAGCATAAGCAACTAAGCCAGGATAGTAAAAATATGACTGACTTCCTATAACCTGGACAAGCTTCTAACTGGAGATTACTGCTATTCTATAAAGTAAACCTGGTTTAAGTCTGCTAGTAGTATATCTAATGACATGTACATCATAAGATTTAATTGTTTCCCACCACAGGGTACAGAGTTTTATGTCCTCCATCAACCAAAACCAAACTGCTTAATGGCTATTCAATTAAAGTTTCTGTGGTGCTTTACACCATGTGTTATATGATGAACTCTTAAAGGTATTTTATTTTATACCATTATAACTTTATAATTTTAGAACAAAACTTTAATGAACCTCAACTGTTATTTAAAATACTTAAGATGTTTTGGTAGTTTCAAGTCTCATCTAGGGAAATTTAGAATAATGACTAGATATTGGATAATTTTTTTCTCCTGTCAGGTAAGTCAAGTTATGGGAAAAGTTTTCTACATAGCTTGAACCTTAATGCCTTCAATTTGAAGATCAAAACAGAGTTCAAATAGAAATGACTCAGTCAGACCAAGACAAACATTAGACTTGCTTAACTGTGCTGGTCTCAGTTTCCTTATTTCAGTTCACTAATTTAGAATGTCATAGCCATTGATGTCCTTAAGAATGTCACACTTCGAAAGTCCATCAGCTGTGACTGAATGTATTGATTTAATACACGTCCTTTAAGAGAAGTTTTGTGAATTTAGCACTGTAGCACTGTAGTCCCAGTTCATCAATTTGCTCAAGTGGGCACCAGTAACGTTTCCATTGTGAGACTTACCGTTACTGTTTTTGGCATGTCAAATATGCCAAGGGTAGCTTGCCAGCTCTGCCGTGTGGGCGGGATACTGTCGGTAGCTTGCTGGACTGTCTAAGAGGGACATGTGCACTGTATTTCAAAATTTCTGAAAATAGCAAGTTCCCCCCAAGTTCTTGTTATTTTATTTGTCATGGTCACGGTCTTCCCGTTGTTCATTGATTTGCTCGAGCGGGCCCAGTAACGTCTCCATCGTGAGACTTGTTACTGTGTTTGGTGTATCGAATACATCACGGGCAGCTTGCCAGGCTCTGCTGTACGGGCGAGATACTCTCGATAGCTTGCCGGGCTCTCTGAGAGGGGTGGAGGAATCGAACTCGGGTCGGCCATGTTGGCTGCGTGCAAGGCAAATGCCCTACTGCTGTGCTATCGCTCCAGCCTGTTATTTTATTATTATTTATAATTTGTGAATTTACTGAAATATATATTCACTGAAATATTGCTATTCTTAAACATAACAAAAGTTATTTCTGATAAGTGTAGTTATTGGATATTGTAGCATTAAGTCATTTAATTTTTTTCACTGTAACATAAGAAAGTGCATATCTCATACTGGAAGACAATGATCTACTTGTACTCCTAATTGTCAAAAATTAATTGGGAACTATTACAAGGGAAAACAATGAAAGAAAAAAAGCAAAAGAACTAAGGAAAAAAGGGTAGTGTACATTTCCTTTTGGAAATTCTGCGTCCTTTCACATATGATTGATATTCGCACACACAGATGTATGCATTTTAATAGAACTGTGACTGTCCATTTATTTCTCTAATGGGGCTTGGCACATGAAAACATATTTCATAGGGATAAAAGAGAAGGTAAGCTTAAGAGATGGCAATTATTCTTGACAACACCCCACTATGAACACAACAAAGAAATGCCACACTGATTATGTGCTTGACTGAAATTTAAATGCTAACTGCTTATTAAAAGGCAACAAATACATTTTTTAAATTTATATTGTGTTTCATAAACACGACTACATTTTATTAACTAGATTGGAATTTTTTGTTTAACAGTATAGTTTTAGTTGTAATAAATGGGGACTCAATGATACAGGGCATCAAGTGACATGTTAGAACAATTGCCCTTTTATGGCACTTAAAATGTATCATTATTTTATGATAAATAAATTGAAACAGGCTATGCTATGTCTGAATCTACATATTGTGAGGTGAGTCATTAATATTCTAATTTATACCTAGTCAACTTTCAAAGCAACCAAGCAAGTAACATATGGCATGAAAAATGTAAATGTATGGTCCTTGGGGTAACTCAGACTGAAAGCCCTTGCTGGCAAGTGTGAGGGCCACGAGTTCAGTCTCCATTGTTGTCACATGCACCCGTCACAGACATGACAATTGGCGTTTAAGGATTCTACCTGAAAATGTGCAACTCCCAGTGAGCACCATAACTAAAAGCACTACGACTCGGGTAGTAAACCCACCAGTGAGAACAGATATAAGTGTCATAGAGACTCTGAGTGAGTACTGCTACCAGAAGAAGTGTCAGCACTGAAGCTAAATGTGTGTGACCCAGACCAGCACCATGGCTAAGTGCACAAAAACCACAAGCAAGTGTGTATGACTCATGATCATCACAGCAGAAGCAAAGAACGGAAGGGGGGAAAGTTAAGTGTGCAAACATTTGAAGGAAATTTGCCTTCTGAACTGATGAGGAGTGACATAATATTTAATGTTGCTTCTGATTAAAAAATTGTTAAAAAATCAACTGTTATTATATTTCTTGGGGACACAGACTGTGGGGCTTGAGCAGCATGGAATCACGTCCGGCAAGGCTCAGTAGGCTGGTGTGGATTCAATGGTCCTGGCACTTCCTTGGGCCCCGTGATGGGGTGCTGCTCAGCCACATGGTGCTGAAAGCCAGCAAGGCAATACCTAGGGGTGTTCCTGTGGCATGGAGGATCAAATTGGGGGCTTAAAAATATCCACAGCACCCGTTTTTCCTCTTTTGTTTATAAAGATGATTCACAGCTTAAGGTCCAAGGAATGACTTGGTGGCTAAAAGAAGCTGCCTCATAGGCATGAGACCCCCGAGTTTGATCCCTGATGTTGTTTACATGCACCAGGCATGCATGGTCTCAGATTTTCTGCTGTCTGAGGCTCCACTTGCCTGCAGGGAAGAGTTTGTGATTTCTAGAGTGTGTGTGTGTGTGTGTGTATGTGTGTGTGTGTGTGTGTGTGTGTGTGTGCAACACAGGTGCTCAGGCAGGTGAATATTGAGGCTAGAAGTGAAACCTCTGGCACGGTGTACAGTGAGAATATGTACAAAAACTGAAATGGCCAAAGGAGTGTAACCCTGGAGAACATGTTTGCAAGCAATTCAGCTAAAGTGTGTGACTGACAGGAGCCACACCAAATGAGGAACTGTCACAGAGTTAAGCAAGTGTGACTCCTGGTTACTACAACAAAGGGAAAAGAGTGGAAAAAAATAGAAGTGAATAGACAGGTCATAGCGTTTGAATAAATCATTCGTAGCTTGTTTTCTATTGCAATAGTTTGCAAGTTTAATTACATCATAAAAAGGTGACCTATAAGTGAGCAAATTGTCCTTTGTTCTAAATTTGCTTTCCAAGTTTATTCTTGCCTATATTTGCACGTGCTATGTTTAAGAACACATACGTATGTGTTCTTACAATATACAATACAATATACAAACACATACAATATACGTATGAACCAGTTGTGTGGTAAGTTAGATCATTTTGATGTTGTCTATTGTGTTAATTAGGAATAAAGTTATTAGTTTTATGTACAAAAAGTTCTGATTTGAGAACTGAGATATGTGACTTTTCCACAGCTTGATTAGTAAATAAAATGACTGAATATAGCTAGAGTATATTAAAGTTAACAATCGAGGCTATTTTGGGAATATACTTTTACCACAGTAATGATAAATACTAATTAGAAAATGAAACAAAGCATATGATATATTTTCACATTTGTAAACACAAACCCAATTACAGAAGAGAATAAAATATGCCCAATTATATGTTTATGTGGCCTTTGAAAACTTAAAGTTATTTCTTATTTGTACTTTCCTTTAAAATTTATTTAGTGTAGGTAGTTATAAAAGTGTTATTTTGGAGAGCTCAGTGATTTGGTCAGGTCCCACTATTTAGAATTCATGTGATTTTGGATAGCTTTTCAAACTTCATCACATTTTATTTCCTTATCTTTAATACAAGCAAATCTGTCTTGCTTTCTTTATAGATTTGTTGTGATCACTAAGCAAATATGATTTAAAAGCATTTGGATGTATCAATAGGTATTAAATTAAGCATATATGTACAATATGTCATTTTACAGATAAATCAGCTCTAATTAATTCATATATAATGTATACATACATGCATGAATAGTGCATAGGGAATATACAAACAAAAATATCGAGCCAATTTCATACTTACTCTGTAATGATATTTTATAAACTCTTCCCATCAGTTGGGACCAGTGCATGATTTAAGAAAAAAAATGTTAAACCTTTTCCTGAGAAATGCCTTTTATTTTTCCCCTATTTGAGAAACATCTTTTGGCTATTCTTTCCCAAACTATTTCTTGGACATTAAAAAAAAAAAAAGATGAGTCAGTGAGAAGCTGGGGTTATGGTGCTTGCCTGCTTGTGGGGCATCCTGGTTTTGGTCCCTGTTATGGGATGGTCACATAAGTGTAACTAGAGGTCACTCCCCCCAACCCGGCCCCTGCACCCCAGCACAGAGATGGAAGCAGACCCTAAGCACTGCCAGGTATGGCCTCAAACTCCCTTCCCCTAGTCAAATAAAACACAACAAGATGCTGAATCTAGTGCCATCTTTCTAATATGACAGCTAGCAATCCATTTAGCTAAACAGACCATGTGGCATCTGCCAAATATATATTTTTTCACTTGAAAATGTTCATAAGGTCACTCTCTTTTAAGTCTATTTAGTCACAGGCTACCATGTCTAGATTAAAATATTTCCTTCACAAATAAAATTATGAATTAGCAAGAGAAAACTACATGGATTGGCTCTTTTTTTTGTTTTATTTTGAATTTGGACTACACCTGGTGGTGCTCAAGGCTTGCTCTTGGCTCTGTGCTCAGGAATCACTCTTCATGTGGCTCAGGGAACCATATGTGGTACCGGGGATAGAACCTAGGTTGGCCACATGCAAGGTAAGCATCCCACCTGCTGTGTTATTTCTCTGGCACCAATAAATCATTTGAATATTACCTGAAATATAAAAACAACTTGGTCATAAGTCATAAGGAATTAACAGCTGTTTTATACTTATAAGAAATCAAATCAAGTCAATGAATTTCATCTGTGAACTAACCTTATATAATATCCTTAGACCCCTTCCTATAAATCAAAATGTATCAGATAAATAATTCCTCTGGGCTTTATAGAAAATGCTTCTACCAGCTCTACAATTTCATCAGACCATATAGTATATCAAATTACATGATTCTCAAAACACAGGTTGAAGGACACCAATATAAATACAAAGTATTGTGATGAAAATACTGTGGTATGTCTTTAGAGTCCACAGATTAATAATTCTGCTTTTAGTATCTGAACAAGTTGAAAGTTCAGTGGTATGTAGTAATAGGCAATTTTCTGTAAGTATATAGTTGAGATATACACACAGACATATATCTGCGTAAATATATTATGCATGTATATGAAATCCATTATATATCATATATACATGCATAATGGGCTGAAGCAATAGTACAGCAGGTAGGGCATTTGTCTCACATGCAGCCGATCTGGGTTCGAGTCTTCAGCCCCTTTTGGAGAGCCCAGCAAGGTACTGAGAGTATCCTGCCCACATGGCAAAGCCTGGCAAACTCCCCATGATGTATTCGAAATGCCAAAAAACAGTAACAAGTCTCACAATAGAGATGTTACTGGTACCTGCTCGAACAAATCAATAAACAACGGGACTACAGTGCTAAAATGCTACATGCATAATATATATACACACATTTATATGGGGGGCGTGTGCAAACTGATGTTTTTTAATCAAATAAATATTTTTCTGAAATTGCTAATTAAAAAAAGACCTTCTGAGGGAACTGAGGGGAAAATGCACTAGTCCACTAAAGAAGTCATTCTGAGATACGGAATTGAAATTCCAGGTATATAAAATAGTTCTATTATACTGATACAATTAGAAACCATATTTTTTATCGCTGTCGTTACTGACTTATATAAGTTGCTCATGATAGAAATTTATAATAACAAGGGCTGGAGCAATAGCACAGCAGGTAGGGCAACTGCCTTGCACGTGGCTGATGGGGCCGACACCAGTTCAATTCCTCCGCCCCTCTCGGAGAGCCCGCCAAGTTACCAAGAGTATCTCGCCCACACAGCAAAGTCTGGCAAGCTCCCCGTGACGTATTTGATATGCCAAACACAATAACAACAAGTCTCACAATGTTACTGGGCCTGCTCGAACAAATCGATGAACAACGGGAGGACAGTGCTACAGTGCTACAATTTTATATCTATAAAAATTAAGTTATAACCTTAACTAGGTTATAAGGATCACTTGCCATATTTTGTTTTTTAAAGTTTCTCCATTTTTTAAGCACTTTTTATTTACCTTTCTTGTTCTCCAAGCTGCATTGCTCTTTGTTCTTCATTGATTTTTCCTTATTCTCATGTTCACCTTCATTCTGATATCCTATTATTAGCAAGGATAATAAAGTATAAAAACACATTTCAATAGTGCACATTATCTACATAGGACAACAGATAATACAGGAAACCTCCATTTAATTTTTAAATGACACAAATGAGAAAAATTGCAGATAGAGAGCACACCAATACGAACAGTAGCCATGTTAATTTTCTATAAGTATTTTTATCCAGTTCATTTTAATTTTTATTGGAATATGTTAGTTGTTTATATTTCATTATAAATATTATATTTTATTATAAATGTATTATGTTCTATGTCAGTTATGTTAACCTTTGTGCAAACAATTTAATAGATACACAAAGCTTCCATTTAATCCAATGGTGATTTGGGCAAACACAAGCATTAATATATGCAGAGTTTAGGGTACTGTGTAAGACATGATTTCTAGGTCATTCGGAGAAAAGAGATATTCTGAATATCTTGATTTGGGGATAGGAATTCACCATCAAACTTCAGAGTTAGTATGAATCTTGTCATACGTGTATACAATTTTTTTTATAATTCCTTTACCACCTGAAGAGTTAATTACACACTTCATTTTAGTTTCCTTTCAAAATTTATCTATTACAAAATTTTTCAAGCCAGACGAATAGTAGGAAGGTGACTTTTAAGGTTAAGGACACTGTGATCTGGCTTCAAAGTCCACCCTGTGTTCAGTGACCAGTCATGAAAGGTGACTCTTCTCTCAGACCCAATTTTCACATTGAGGAAAAGAAGATGGTATCTTTGAACTTATATCATAGGGTTTTGATATAATAAATGAACAATTCTTAAAAACAATGAAAGCAGTGGTTAACATGAATCCTATGTTTCATTGATGCAGATACTTCTTTCTGCACATATTGAAATAACTCCATCAGATTACTGCTAGTCTTTTTCATTTCTAGTCCTGAATATTTTGATGTGAACTGTACAATTACAATGCTATGTAAGAGTTTTATGTATTAATATATCTTATAGTACCTGCTGTGAAGAAGCCCAATACATATTTGCTTATGAATATAATGACAAGCATTTTAAAACTATCTTATAAAGCCTACATGATATTATTAATTTAATAAAGTAATGATGCTTAACATGCAAATTGATTTGTAAATATGAATTGCATTATAGGTTAAGCATTTTATATTTCTATATTTGATACATGGGAACCATGATTATTTTTGAAAAAAACATTTTTCGTGAAGGAAAAGTAATCTCATGAAAAATAGTAACTAAGTTTGGGGAGAATATGCAGGAATTTCTATTATTTTTTACATAAAATTCACCAAAAAGGAGCAAATATTATTCTCATTTTACTTATAAGAAAAATGAACATTAAGGGTTCACCTATATAGTACAGCTCACCCCAGCTGAATCCCTGCACCACATGTGGTCCCACTGTAAGTGATGCCTGAGCACTGCCAGGTGTAGCCACAGAGATGAAAGCAAACACCCTACACGCTGTACCAGTCCCTCAGACCACTTCTAAAATACTACAACACTAATAAAAATAAATTAAATAAATAAATGGTTGAGGAAGAAGGAAAAAGGTAGGAAAGGAAAAAATGAAAAGCAATATAAACTAATCAATAGCAGATATCTCTGAGTAGTAGTATGACTTTAAACCAATTACACTTTTGAGATTATCATTCAAAAATAGTATTAGAAAAGTTTCTCTCATGCCACTGATGTTTATTTTTAAAAAGCTGTCTGTCTGAGAAAGCATCAAGTTCAGAACTTAGATCTGACTTGCCCTCCCAAGCATGGAATATTCACTTGCTTGTCTCTGTCCCTTTGTCCTTGGCTACTTGAAACCCCTAAGCTAAGAGTTAGAGGACCAGCCCCAAGAGCACTTCTGGCTGTGGCCAAACCAATCCGTTACTCCATACACACACAAAAGAGTCAAAGATTTCCTCAAGATGTGGTTCCTTATGCAACATGTAAGTATAATCACAAGGACGTTTAAACTGGTTTCATTCCAGTCACATACTTTGGTTATTGATATCATTAAATTCCACATGTTCGCTACTATCTGTGAGATCTGAAATTTGAAAATATAGAACTTGAGGTAACTGGGAGCTTACATAACCAAGTGTGCCTCTATTGCTTGCTCTTTTCAGGCATTCTGGGTTTGCAGCAGACAGACATGTCTTGGCTTCATAATGAAGAGAAGGGACATTTCTTCACTAGCGTTTCTGATGACAAGTTTGTAACGTGCTCCTTACCCTCAGTCATGATTGTCTTTCCTATTATGTCCTCTTGTACGCTTGGGAAAATAACAAAAGACATGGGAAGAAAGGGATCAGGTGGTAAAAAAATTTTTTCAAAAGTGTCCGATGTCATAAACCAAGCAGGAGGCAGAAGATAGGGCTATGTGGTGTTTATCCTAGGGCAGTCGACGGGCAGGACAGAGGGAAAGGGCATTTCCTAATGACAGAAGTCATCCTAGAAACAGACATCAAGGCAAAGGAAGTTGTGTCAGAGGTAACATTTGTTCCAGAGAAGTTCTCCAAAGAGGATGTAGGAGTCCACAAATGTCTCTTGAAAATAAACCACTCTCTAAATGCTGCTGTGAAGTTTGAAGCATTGTGGATTTAAAAGTTGAGCAAAAGTGTATACGGAAGGTATCACCAATTTTTTCTGAACGGTTCATTCTTCGTCTCCTATTTCTTCAATGACACTCACAATCATGTACAAGAGGCTGACACGTAAAGCAGTGTTATCACTTGCATGACCTTTACCCTTCTGCAAATAATCTTTTGAGTACCAATTAATAAATTCTATGTAAAAGACATGGATATAAATCTTCATGATGGATGTGGAATATTAGTGGCTGCCAGTCAAGAATAGCTATTATATTGTAAACTCAGATACTTTGATAGTTAGAGCATCCAGACAAATGGTGCACATTATGCTGGCAGTAGGAAATGCTTTATTTTAAAATATTTTACACGAAATGACACCTGTTTCTGGTGTTTCTAACACATAACTCTGTGGCTTCTACAAAGGTATTTCTTTGAAAGTGATTAATATTTAAAAGCGGAGTTTTTTTATAGTTTGAGGAATAAAATCTTGAATTTGCTTTCATGCTTATTTAATCATGCTTTTTAATGTCAAAGTAGAATTTTGGTTATAGAGGAATTCATCGGGGCTACAGAAACTGTCATCACCCTTTATGACAATACGTGATGCTTTCAGCTACATTTTCTGGGACAATCAGAAATTTTAAAAAAATCGTTAAGTTTCAGGAAGATCAAAGAGCCACTTCCCAGTAAATTATTCAATAATAATGTTTTAAAACAATATTCATTATATTACTATGTAAAAGAAATTATGTTAAGGTTATTTGAGATTTTACTCATTTTTCAATAAAATTCATTAAACATTGAAATAAATTATTGAAGAAAATATGTAGGCTATTTGTTTTAAATATTGGATTTGATATGTACCATCAGTGTGATCTGTATCAAACCTCTTGAACTTCAACCTTCTCCTCCATAAAATGGTGTTAATTGTATTCCTTTGCAAGCTTGTTGAAAGAATTATAGATGCTTTATACATTTTTATATAAAAATTCCAGTACCCTGCGTGGTATTCACACTTCACTTAATCACTTAACTTCCCGTTAGTCGTCGATTTGCTCGAGCGGGCTCCAGTAATGTCTCCATTCGTCCCTCTCACGTGCCAGTGTAGCCCAATGGCATCTGTTCGCTCTGAGAACATGAAGAGCCTCAAACCGATCGTTCATGATCTTGATGAAGAAATCTGACCATCTGGTAGGTGGGTGGCCACGCGGTCTTTTGACATCCCATGGGAGCCAGTCGGTAACAGCTCTAGTCCAGCGGTCGTCTTTAAATCTCATTACGTGACCAGCCCATCTGATTTTTGACACCTTGGCAAACGAGACAGCGTCCCTGATTCTTGATCGTCAAAGGAGGTCAGACAACCTGCCTGGTATTAATGCTTGGAAAATCAATGGCCATTGTTACTATTGTTATCATAATTAAGTCTGTCCTCTTAAACTGAAATCATATGATCAAGTTAATAATTATACAATTTTCATTAAAATTTACATTATAATATTTCTCAGTAAGAGTTAAACTTCTGTGGAAACTAAAACAATGGAATTTTTAGTTACAGGAGCTCCTTGTTACTGAAGCTGATAGTTGATATTCAGCCAACTGATATGATTGATCACTATTTTTATTCCTTTAAAGAAACACAAAACAAAAAAAACTAAAAAGAGACAGAAATATGTGCATATGTAAATGATTACATAAACACATGGAGAGACTATTTAACATGTTACATTTTAAGTAACTTTTATGGTTTGTCAAAATATGCTTATATGTATGTGCATACACATTATTTATACACACACACTCACACACACAATGTTTTGGGTCCTGGGATCACATCCAGCAGTGCTCAGGACTTCCTCTGGCTCTGCACTCAGGAATCATTCCTGGCGGGGGTCATGTGTTTTGCCAGGAATTGACCCTAGTCTGCCAATGCCATGTGGAAGGCAGGTGCTCTACCCACTGTAATATCTCTCTGGTCCCGGTTTTATATTGTTTAAGGTGAATAACTAAAAGAATAAGAAAATATTTTCATTAGAGTTTATAAAACCTATTCCACTAAAAGAACTCGATATGCCCCTTAATATGTTATTCTGTGTCAAATTTATTTAAAAACTGTTAGTAATTCACATGTTATTAAGCTAAGTGGCCTTGGTTCCATTAATATATTGAAAGTAAAAATTATTTTTAAATTTCAGATAAGAACTAAAAGCACTATGTGGTCTTTTAAATGACATAAAATTATTTCTGATTTAATCATATTTGAATGTAATAAAACTTTTCAGTTGGACAGTTATTATGAGGCACAAAGAATTTATTGCTTATTAATGATGAAACTATTTAAAATACTTAGTGTCCATGCTAGATGTCTTTGGCGTTCTGGTGAATTCCCAGTTGTCACAGTTTTATCAATGCCCCAAGAGTTACAACATTACCTAAAGAAATATGTGGAAATGCACAATTGACAATTAAAAATTAATTTGTCATGAAAGTTTCATGATTCGCATAGTTGGATATCAGATATGAGGAAATATATTATTTGGGGGAGTAAGTACCTTAAATGAGTGAGAGTACACATGATGCCAGAAGAGATGGGATCCAGGTGTGATCTGGCATTATTTTGGGATACTGACAATAAAGAAGGCATCCTCTACTAGGGCAAGTGTTTGTTAGAGCCATTCTTGGCCCAAGTTTTTGTTGCGTCAAATATTTTTGCTGAGAGGCTAATAGGGAAAAGTTTAATTTATTCTAAATATTTAGCTTATTGTCAGAAATGTATTCATGTCTTATAATTTTAAACATTTCATGATCTTGATGAAGAAGTCTGACCATCTGGTAGGTGGGCAGCCACGCGGTCTTTTGACATCCCATGGGATCCAGTCGGTAACAGCTCTAGTCCAGCGGTCATCTTTAAATCTCATTACGTGACCAGCCCATCTGATTTTTGACACCTTGGCAAACGAGACAGCGTCCCTGATTCTTGATCGTCGAAGGAGGTTGGACAACCTGCCTGGTATTAATGCTTGGAAAATCAATGGCCATTGTTACTATTGTCGAAGGAGGTTGGAGTGCCAACTTATAAGACATGGGGACCACTGCAAGGAAACAAGAACTGAAGGAGACCATGATCAGAGAATGCTCAAGTTATTCAACAAGTGACTGGGATGTATTTATAATTATCGTTTGACATATGCAGTTTCAATCTCAAGTTCTTCTAGTGCCAGATTGAAAAAAATCAACAATCTCAGCCAATTCAGATAAACTTTGTGACGTACCTCTCAGTCAATTTAGGGATATATTTATTTCCTCTCCTCTCTTTTTTCCGGATTGGATTTATTCCTGGAGGTGTTTATGTCAAGGAGCAGTCAATCCAAGATGATTCCACTGTACCATTCCCTACTTATAGAGGTGACTGTGTCTCTCTCTCTCTGCTATACCTATTATAATCCTGCTGGTATGAACAAACATTTGCTGATCACTTCTTTTGGACTGTATCTAGAATACAGTTGTGAAGGGAAACTGTGAAGCTTGCTGCCTTCCCAGGTTCCACGTGAGAGAAAGGTTCCAAACCTAAGTGTTACTTCAAATCTATCTGAGTCTAGAACAGTGTTGTTCAACTGAGGTCAAAATGTCCCTTTTGCCTTTTTGTTTTTTCAGTGGAAGTGTCATATTTGGCAGTGCTCCGGGCTTACTTCTGGCTCTGTATTTGGGGATCATTCCTAACAGGGCTGGGGGGACCCTATAGGATGCTGGAGAACAGATCTGTGTTGGCTGAATGCAAGGCAAGAAGCATACCTGTTGTAATGTTGCTCTAGCCTCAAGGTCTCCTTTGAGCCCCTCAGATAATTCAAAGGTGCCTCTGGTGATAATCATATACATTAGGGTCTATGGCATAAGACCGGAGTGCCAACTTATGAGACATGGGGACCACTGCAAGGAAACAAGAACTGAAGGAGACCATGATCAGAAAATGCTCAAGAAATATTGAGAACCCATAGTCTGGCTCATGATAATATGCTACAGTATTTTAGTGTCTATTTAATAAGTTTAGCATTTTAGTGGGCTAGAGCAATAGCACAGCGGTAGGGCGTTTGCCTTGCATGCAGCCAACATGGCCGACCTGAGTTCAATTCCTCCACCCCTCTCAGAGAGCCCGGCAAGCTACTAAAAGTTCCTCGCCCACACAGCGAAGCCTGGCAAGCTACCTGTGGTGTATTCGATATGTCAAACACAGTAACAAGTTTCACAGTGCTACTGGGCCCGCTCAAGCAAATCGATGAACGGGAGGATAGTGATAGTGATAGCATTGTAGTATTTCTTCTCAGACTGGAATTTATCTTATAGCTTTCCAGACAGAGTCAATGGATCTATTTATTTATTTTGGCATAGGAGTTTTTATCCGTTAGCATACAACTTTATTTTCTAAAGTTCATTCAGTTTTTTTCTTTTTATTGTTTTGTTTGAGGGCTATCCCTGGTGGTCCTCAAAAGCTCTTTTTGGTTTTGTTCCAGGGACCATTCCTGGTGCTGAATTGGGGGACCATACTCAGTGCAGTGGATAGGACATGGGTTGACTGCAAGCAGGGAAAGAGTCTTACTTCCTAGACTATCTCCATGGTCCTAAAGTCTATCAGGTTGCTCAAAATCCAAACTTTAGGAACTCAACATATCACTGTCTTTTGGTTTTATTTTGGGGCCATGTTCCACTGTGCTCAGGACTTACTCCTGGCTCTGTGTTCAGGGATCACACACTGTGCCAGGGATTGAGTCAGAATTCACCTTGTGAATGGTAGGAACCTGATCTACTGTGCCATCTCTCTGACCCAATCACCAGTCTTGAGCTTTAAAAATCCTTTACTTATAAGTCAAACACCATATGTTCTCACTGATCTATGGAATATAGTATATCAGTACTAGGAAATTGTATATAACAAAGGTGAAAAAAAAACACTGACTCCAGATCACAGAAATAATAAGAAATAATAAATCATGGTGTTTCACTGACAAAATTTTTTTTAAAAAAATGTAAATGATGGAGAATGGGCACTGGTGGAGGGGTGGGTACTGGATCATTGTATAACTGAAACCCAAGCGCAAAAGTTTGTAAGTGTACAACTGTACCTCATGGTGTTTCACTAATAAAAATTTTTAAAAAAAGAAATAATAAGGAAGAAATAAATAGGGGAAGAAAGTCAGAAGAGAAGTCTAGAAGAAGTGTAGGAACAAGGGTCAGGAGCGCTGGGTCACTCTACAGAATAGAAACGAATGATCTGTGTCTGTTGAACCCACTAGATCCAGGCCTACATCAGCATGGGACCTACGCTACAACAATTAAACTTAAAAATGTAACTGCCAAGGAGTTGGCCTAGGACCGGGAAACACAGGCTGGTGGGAACTCTATATGCCTGTTAAACCCATTGTAAACAACTATGTGAATTGCAGTATTTAAATAAAAATGAAATAAAAATTTAAATCTCTTACTTTTAAATTCAACTGGCAAGAATGATCTCGTCTCCTGTTCAGCACGGGCGTTTCTGCTGTGAAAGTCCTGCCTTTAATACAGCAAAGATTTAGTTTGAACGGTGAGAGAGCTGTAGGGATATGAAAAAACAAAAAGATGGGGCCAGTCCTGGCTCTAGCCCCGCAGGGCACACCTCCCCCTGCACCAAGAGTCATAGGGTATTACCCGGGAGAATCCAGCATGACCTGTGGATGTCGTGACACCTCACAGTCTCAGATCCCACCATTGAACAACCTTGCTGGGTTGACAACGATTGTTTGCTACAAGTGAATCTCCCCACCCCCCATAAAACAAAAATCACAGCAACAATAAAATAACAAAAATGTAAGTTGTTATTATTTTATCAATCTGTGTCCCTTAAAAAAAATCAGTGGGCATTACAAAATAGTCATTGTCACTGTGTGTGGCATATTGAATACACCACGGGTAGCTTGCCAAGCTTTGCCGTGCAGGCGAGATACTCTCGGTAGCTTGCCGGGCTCTCTGAGAGGGGCGGAGGAATTGAACCCAGGTCAGCCGCATGCAAGGCAAATGCCCTACCCGCTCCAGCTACAAAATAGTATCAAACTATTATTGGTTTCTCCTTCATTGTTTTGATCAAGCCTATTGCGTGTGAAGGATCAAAGCAGATATAAAAATAGGACATCTTAAATAGAAATTCCTTCTCCCCTTGGTTTATTGAAACAACAAATCACTTTCAATTTATATTTTATTGAGGTAATATGGGTTTATAAGAGTATAAATATTTATGTTTGGAATACAATGTTACCAGGGTATCCACCATCAAAATGCTATTATATGTGTCCATCATGATCCCCAATCCCACAGTGGGGACTTCCCCCCAATCCCATTATTTTAGTTTTGTGGTCAGTCTAAGAGTTGGTTTTCCCTGGATATGGTCTCCTCTGCTTTTTAAGTGACGAATCAGATATGGAATGACACAGACAAGTGGAATTTCAGAATTACCTTTTCTGTAACTTCTGATCTTTGAATCTGTAGTCTAACCAAGACATGACTAGATGAAACAAAGGCAGTATTAAATAGTTACACCTTTGATTTTTAGAAACTTGCTCTCAGACGAAAAGGCAGTAATTATAATGTTGGCTTAAGATTTTTGCTTTGTTTCCTTGGGATATGTCCTTAGAAGAACTCTCATTCTTTACCTCATGGCTTCTTTTAGCTTTTCCTGTAAAATCCAAACAATTTTACTCAGGCACAACCAGGACCTGACCTCTTCTGAATTTGTCTGTACTCTATGCCTTTAGCTAACTGGTACGCTGAGCCTACCTGTCACTGTTCTCTCAAACATTTCTAGAATGTTCTAAATTCTACCCACAGACACAGCCCATTCTATTCATCAGGTGGTGCTACTCCCTTTCTCATCAATGGACAGGCTACACCGTTCATACCATGACTCTCAGTAACTGTCTTACCTCCAACCTTGAGGATTCCCAGATTCTCAGAGCTCTCCTCTGACATTTCCTTAATAGTTAAACATATATTGGGGCCAGAGCAATAGCACAGCAGGTAGAGCACATGTCTTGTACATGGCCAACCTAGGTTCGATCCCTGGAACCATGTATGGTCTCCTGAGTCCAGCCAGGAGTAAGCCCTAAGCGTAGAACCAGGAGTAAACCCTGAGCACTGCCAATCTGAAGGTTAGGGGGTGGGGGTGAGACTCCCTCAAAATAAAGAACTATATTTTGTAGTAAAATGAGAAGCAAATTCAGAGAAGTCTTGTAATTTTAAGACTTTCAAACATCATGGCAAGTTTATTTCAATTCTTAATATCAGATCAGTTGATGGATTTCATAACATTAGTCTGAATTTTAGTGGGTAAAAGTTTCAACAACTAGTGAATAGTACAAGTCTCAATATTCAATAGTGTCTGTGCTTGGTTTATAATTGCTGAATCAATTTGAATGGTAGATGAGAAAAAAAAAGCCTGTTGGTCAATCCAGTGAAACAGGTGGAGAGAATAATAGGAATGATTAATTAGTTTACTTGGTGAAATAAGCAGTAATGATGTATCCCTTTCAAGATATTGGAGAATGGTGTTTTATGAGATTCCATACATCCTTGCTAGTAGACATGAGTTGAAATTTCCTTCTCTTATACCTCAACTGTTAAAGCTTTCATGATCTTTCCTTGTACAATAAGGAACAAGTCTTTTTTAAATTATATTAGTATTTGCGCATATATATAGCATTTCATAGCAGAGAAATGGCTAAATGGTTGCCCATTATTTGCAACTAAGTAATAAGTCATATCTATTTATTTCAAAGAAGACAAAAATAATTCAGTTCCAGGACAATAATTCAAACCTTTTTCTGTATTTTCCACAAGTGGTATTTGGTTTTTAGATCTTGCCATGGGCTTCAAGTTGGCAAAAAAAACCCAATTTCAGAGAAGACAAAAATGAGCTTACCTCTAACCTTCTTTTAGCCATCACATCTGCTATTCAATTTTGTGCTCTTTGCTTGTGGGTGCCTGAAACAGTGAGAAAGAATACAAACAGAAATTTAAAAATACCTCAACAGCATTTTCCAAAGGCAAATATTTACTGTTTTAATTGATGACAGACACACACTTGTAAAACTATTAGCATGCAACTCCAGCTGCAAAAATTGAACAGCAATATGTCTAAGCTGGTTAGCAGCAAAAAAGTAAACCGATCACATTGACAAAAGCCACCATAAACAAAAAAGCTATATTTAAAAGATTAACGGTTTTGGCATTCACTCCTACCATCAAGTTTTCCACTTTCTTTTTTGCATCAAAATTTAGCTTACGTTTGATGTTAGCAAGAGTTGCATTACTATTATTGCTAATTTTAGATCTGTTTATTACCTTGAGGGTTATATATTGTAAAATAAGTTTGATGCCTCTAGTTAATGTTGATTAGTTGTTTTAATAACCTATAGACCTATTTGTTATAGTTTTGTAGGTTTACTTTTTTAACGATCAGGAACTTAATAACTGAGAATATTTAACATTACTGGTGCATAGGCAAAATTACAGAGTTACTATTAGTGTTACCTGTTTAACGTTTAGTCATCCTTTGAGTCCTGTGACATATTTCCTTAATAATCATCAGCCATCAAGTCTGATAGTCTCAAGAGAAATATCAGCCCTCTAAACTGCCTTCAAGGGCGGTGATATTTAGCACTGAAAATTACAAATAAAGTTTTTGAGGTTGAATAGCAATAACTGGCCAGTGACACTGATGATTTGTTTGTCAAAACAAATTGTTATAAACTACGCAAATGAAGTCCACGCACTCTTTTGAGTGAAAACAAAGTGAATCTACGCAATGCTTACATGTTGGATGGGATATTTAATGTGCGGGGAAACTCAAAGGTTGAAGAACTAGGCATTTAGACAGTGGTAAGTGGTAATCTTACCTCTTTATACTCCATTACTCTTTCTCACGAGAGACATGCTAATGCAAACAAGTCAATCAGAATTTGTGTTTAGCAAGATAAAGCTTAGAGGATAGTTTAAAATCCATTTATTATTCTAAATCCATTCTTTCCATTAACATGTTATACATTAGTGTTTACTAACCATGATTCATGTAACAGTTTAGTTTGTTAACTTTTAAATTATTTAACAACCATAAGTTATTAATACAGTTTTTAAGTATTACACAAATATCTTAAAACAGGCTTGGGTTCATTTTTGTAATTTTTAAATAGAAAACATTTTAGGCATCTCTTGAAGAAGAAATAAAGCAGGCATTTAGAGCTAGAAAACAAGTAATTCCAAATTTAGTTTTTACAAAAGTTTTCAGCTTTATTGACAAATTATGGCAAACATATTTGACAAATTGTGGTTTCCTATTTAGAGAAGCTTACACATGGAACTTTATGTGTCTTTTTTTTCTTTTTTAACAAATACAGGTTAAAACACTGAACAAATTCAGTTAGCTACATACATACAGTAGCTGCTTGTTCTCAACCCCATTAAAACAGCATTTAAAATTAAATTTACAAACTTAATATAGAACATCTTCATCTAACTAACAGATATTAAAAGACAGGTTAAAACATCTTATCTACAACTTTATTATCAGCTAGTTCAAAAATCATATTACAGTCTTTTAGCAACCCTAAACAAAGTTTTTGCTAGTTGATTGAGACTCAAAATCTGTCAACAGATTCATGCTCTTTTTTATAAAAAAAAAAAAGGGAAAAAAAGATTACACACAACAATGAAAAACAACCAAGAGAATATCATCCTACTGAATAGTTTATAGACAATGCTTGCCAATGCCTTTTTTAGTTCATATTGATCATATTGAAAAATAATAGTAATGTCAATGTCACGCCAACAGTATAGGGGGAAATACAAGAGATATATGGGCATAATCATAAATAATTATCCCTATAATAGAAAAAAAGGACTATTACTTGTCTTGTTGCTGTTTATTTGGAGACCACAGGCTATGAATTGTCTTTGCAGTGAGGTCACAGGTGAGGAGGACCTTCAATATCTACCATAGGGGTGCTCCCTGTAGCCCCCTCTGGCGGACCTTGGAGGTGCTGCCTTCAAGCTGGTGCGGGTCGTGGCCCATTCTTCTGGTGCTATGAACAAGAGAAAGACAGTAACATTCATGTGGCTTCTCGGGTACTTGAAACAGTCATCAAAGATGCACTAGTTGGCAGAGGAAGGCTTCAATTCTAATGGTAAAACCTATCATTTCTACGTGGTCAGATCATCCATTGATGCACAGATTTTGAAATGTGGCCACTTGGATTTAAACTTGCAGATCATTCTTCCGAAAAGAAAATGTAAAATTCCTTGAGTAAGCTCACATTGATGATATATATATATATATATATATATATATATATAGTCTGGAGCGATAGCACAGCAGGTAAGGTATTTGCCTTGCATGCGGCCAACCCGGGTTTGATTCCCCCCGCCCCCCTCCCCGGAGAGCCCAACAAGCTACGGAGAGTATATTGCCCCCACGGCAAAGACTGGCAAGCTCCCTGTGATGTATTCGATATACCAAATACAGCAACAACAAGTCTCACAATTTGTTGTGAGATGATTACTGGTGCCAACTCGAGCAAATCGATGAACAAAGGGAGGACAGTGCTACAGAGCAGTGCTATATATTTATGTGTGTGTGTGTGTGTGTGTGTGTGTGTGTGTGTGTGTGTGTGTATAATTTCTGTGTCAGCAAATTGAGAGATGTGTAGCAGTGTAAACCAGATCTCCTGTAATCCCATATGCAGAAGTCTGAGGTAAATTGGATATCGTCTACCAGTGACAGTCTTGTTTGACTTGAGAATTATCTAGAAAACATAATGAAACTAAAAGAAATAGAAAAGAATGTTCTCTACTTCTTAAACCAAATACACGGAAAATGATGTAGGGTGGAAGCTGGAGTTTGGTATTTTTCAAATGCTTCCCTAACGGATTCTTTTTAGTTCAGGGCTGGATGGGATCCACTGTGCTATGATGTCTGAGACAAAACAAGACGGAAGCAGGATGTAGAATAGCCGCTAAATCAAAGAGCAAAAACTACTGACACACAGGTCTGCTTATTTCTTAACATATTATCTACTATGCCTTTTAATTTAACAAGGCAGAGTTGAGCAGGGGCTGGAGCAATAGCACAGTGGGTAAGACAATTTCCTTCCATGCGGTCGACATGGCCGACCCGGGTTCGATTCCTCCGCCCCTCTCGGAGAGCCCGGCAAGCTACTGAGAGTATCTCGCCTGCACAGCAAAGCCTGGCAAGCTCCCCGTGGCGCATTCGATATGCCAAAAACAGTAGCAACAAGTCTCCAATTTGTTGTGAGACGTTCCTGGTGCCCACTTGAGCAAATCAATGAACAACAGGAGGACAGTGCTACAGCACTACAGAGTTGAGGAGACAGAGAGATAGTTAAATGTGCTGGGGTTCATTCTTTGCATGTAGGAAGCAGTACTGGAACTAACCCTGAGGATTACTGTGTGTGGTTGCCTCCTCCTCCGCCCAGTTAAAAAAATAATCTAAACAGAGGTGGACTTAATTATTAAACACACTATACTTCAGCAAAGCTCTAAAATACTTAGTCTTTAGGTCTTTATAGAAAGGTTTACTGACTCCTAATCTACATACTGCTTTTAGTTAGAAACAGTGGATACTGATTAATCTACGGGGACACAGAAATTTAGTCCTCGACTGCCAGAATTTCTTCACGTAGATATTTTGAGGAAAATTCTATGCATGTACCTCATTGGAATTGAGATTCTATTTTATCGACTCTTAAGGCAAAAAAATTGCTTTCGAACTTAAATGTGTCTTCTCAGACAAATGGAATATATGTATTTTTTTTCTTTTGGTTTATGGGATACACCTGACAATGCTCAAGGTTCACTCCTGGCTCTGTTCTCAGGAATTACTCCTGGCAGTGCTCAAGTGAACTATCTGAGAGCCAGAGATAAAACAGGAGTTGGCCAGTGCAAAGCAATGCACCTCGATCTTGCTTGCTCTTGCATATTATTTTTGTACTTTGTCTAGATCAGGGATATCCAATGTCCTAATCCTCCAGCAGTATCACTACAGGTTTATGAAAAGAAAATGTACTTTTTTATTTCTTTTTTTATTTTTTTTTATTTCTTTATTTCTTTATCCTTTCCTAGAGTGTTAGAGATTCGTGGTTCAAGTTTGCAGAGTTTAGGAGTTGAGGCAATAGTAATAGCTTTTAAGCTTTTTTTGCTGGTACTGGAGGTCCATGACCCTTTATAAGAAGGTGAATATTTCTGGTTATGCAAAAATAGCAAAATAATCACGAGCAAAATCACAGCAGTATCTGTGACATTTACTTTCAAATTTATTAGAACATTTGTCTGTTATAATCTTAGCTATCTGCTACAGAACTGTAACTCAAAGCCATGGCTTTTTACCTGATTTTTATCTAAAACCTGGGGGGAAACAAAGACCAGAAGGTCTAAACTTGTCATTTTATGTTGAAAAGTACATAGTAGGGGATGGGTACAACGGGAAACTGCATGATCAAAAGGAGAAATGGATAAATATGTCTAATAAGTAACCTTAAAAAATAGCTGTAGAATCTGGGAAAAACCCGAGTGCCCAAGAACAGATGACTGGTTAAAGAAACTTTGGTACATTTACACAATGGAGTACTATGTAGCTGTTAGAAAAGATGAAGTTATGAAATTTACATACAAGTGGTACTACATGGAAAGTATCATGTTAGGCGAAATGAGTCAGAAAGAGCGGGATAGACACAGAAAGATTGCATTCATCTGGGGAACATAAAGCAACAAAACGGGAGACTAACACCCAGGAATGGCTGAGATTAGTACCAGAAATTTTGCTCCATGACTTGAAGGCCAGCCATACGTGCTAGGTGAAAAGGAAGCTCAGATAGAGAAGAGAGCACCAAATAAAGGTGTTGTGAGGACCCTCCCAGGGTGGGAGAAGCATGCTAAAAGTAGTCTATAGACCAAACATGATCGCCACTCAATGCCTCTCTTGCAAAACACAGTACCCAAAAGAAGAGAGAGAGAACAAGGGGGAATGCCCTGCCACAGAGGCAGGGTGGGAGGGGGTGGGGGAATGGGGGGTGGGGAGATGCTGGGAACCGTGGTGGTGGAGGATGGGCACTGGTGGAGGCATGGGTACTTGATCATTGTATAACTGAAACCCAAGCACAAAAATTTATAAGTCTATAACTGTACCTCATGGTGTTTCACTAATAAAAAAAAAATAAATAAAAGAAACTATGGCACCTGCACACAATAGAATATGATTAAGCCATAAGAAAAGAGAGACCTGGAAAGTATTAGGCTGAATGAAGTTAGTCAGAGGGAGAGAGACTGGCAAAGAATGATCTGTCTCATATGCGGGGTATAAGGAAACATAATGGGGGAATAACAAATGCCCAAAGACAATGAAAACCGAATACATGAAAATTGGTCTTCAGTAGGAAAGAGGACACTTGAGGGGGCTGGGGGATAGGCCAGGGAAGGGGCAATGACCATGGCAGAAGGAAGATCAACCAGGAGGAGGTAGTGCTGAAAGGTGGTCAAGCAATAGTACTGTAAACCACAGTGCAAAAACTTATGTAGTGAAAAGAGTGCGCCTGTAGAGACACACTGGTGGGAGGCAAGTGGGGAGAATGGGTAACTGGTGGAGGAAGTGGGCACTGGCGAAGGGACTGGTGTTGAAACCCAATTGTGAATAACTTTTTAACTTTATGGTGACTAATAACAAAAATTACAATTTAAAAAATAAATAAGTAGAGCTTACACGCAAAAAAAAAATAGCTGTTGGGACTGGAGAGAGAATCTGGGTAGAGGCATCTGCTTTGTTTGTGGCCCAACCAGGGTTCAAACCCCGGACCACATATCTCCCCTCCACCCCCCACCACTGCCAGGATTAAGTGCTGAGCATTGCTGAGTGTGGCAAAAACCCCAATTCCTATCCCAAACTAAAGCAAAGAAACAAAAAAACCTGAGCTGAAGAAATCTGCCATTAATGGTAAAAGTTCTGGGGTGGGAGAGAAAGTACAGGGATACAGTTCTTGCTTAGAATGTGGCAAGACTGACTTTCAGCAATGTAAGTCCCCCAAACCAACCCTCTGGCCCTAGTACCATCACGGAGCACAGAGCCAGGAATAGTTCTAGCACTACTAGCACTACTAGGTTGTGTCAACCTCTCCCCGTTCCATATAAACAAGCTGTAGAACCAGAAATTAAATATCTGTTAGAATCAAGCTAGGGCTCTTATGAAGTTGCGTAAGTACCAAAAATCTTTTGCTACTCCGTTCAATGAAATAATAACAGATTTAAAATTATAAAGATGTAGGAATGAATTTAGAACTAATCGCTCTGTCAGGAGTTCTACGATTCTGGAGACCGGTCGTAAAAATATAGTGCTTCATGCAAGTTTTGGAATTCTGATCAATTGCTCTTAATGCCACAATTTGGTCTAGGATGTTATTAAAAAACCACCACAGACAATGAAATCTAGAGATCATAATTCTTTATCCTTTCGGAAGCATTAAAGCCAAAAAAAATAAAGTATGCTATCAGGATCATTTTCATTTGAGAAGAGCTAGCTAGACTGCATGTGACTCAAACAAATAAATAACAAATTGTTCCTTGGGGAAGGTGCAAAATAACTGTCTGACAAATTAAAATTACTGGGATGGTTCACAAAATTGAGAGTCTGGAAAAAGCAACTGAAGAGATGAGAAACAGAACTGAAGGGACTCGATCAAATTCTCCCTGGCCCCGCCAATTCAGATTTTTATGTGCCACATAGTCTATCATAGAGTAGACAGAATAAGGAAGGGGAAAATAAAGCATTCATTCCATATATGTGTGTGTGTGTGTGCGCGCACACACACACACACACACACACACACACACACACTGAAGCTGTCCTATGTGCCAGTAATTCTACTAAGCTCTGCATGGGAGATAATTTTAGGAACCTTAAGGGCAAGGGAGGACAAAACAAACATGAAATTTCATAGTTTATGACACCATTAAAATTGATATTTGAAGAAAGCACTTGGGAAATCCTGGAGAAAGGAGGTACTATCAGGTCCAAAAT